TTTAATTGTCTAAATGTTGTGTAATAAATAGTATATTTGATCAATCTTCTGACTACTCGGTCATTTCAACTCGAGTGTATTTTTTTTTTATTACAATACATATTCAGGCATTAAAAAAGGTCAATTTTTGTCCACTTTTATTTTGTTTAATCTCGCATGACACGTTATTATGTTTTTTTTTCTGTCGGATTATAGGCTATTGTGTATTTAGACTGTGCCTTATTGTGTAGGCCTAATACTGTACAGCGTAAATATTTTCAATATTATAGCCGATTGAATGATAATAAAATACACCGGAGTCTAGGAATTCCAAAAATCAATATTTAAAATGAAATATGACAGCCTGAGTTAAAGATGTAGGTGCAGGTCATGTAGGCTACCCAATATTGGACCTTACTCATCTCAAAACACTAATGGATTTGTAAGTTTATAGTCCAATATAATACAGTAATAACTCCTTCAGTTGACCCGTCCCAGTTTACCAGCTTTTGAATAGCTAACATCCCTTCTTATTTGTTCACAAAAAATAAAATTATATTAATGAAGGGATATAAAGTACTGTTATTTATTTCAGTACGATGTACCAGTAACTCGTTGATCTGCGTACGGGTGGTACCGTACAGCAGTACCGTACCACTGAATTAAAACAAAAAACCGAATCAAACTTCACCAGGAAGAATGTGTAAAAGCCACTCCAAAACGTCAAAATACGAACAATTACAGGTTGAATAGGTTACGAAATAGCTAAAAAAATTGTTGCGACATTGAGATTTCGGTTGATCGATCGCCTGCAACTGAGTCTCCATAGATGGTTTTGTTGTATTCTGTTACAGTTGTTAAAAATGTCACAGATTACCTGATGCTAAACAAAAGCCTATTTTGTTGAATACTGGATGTATCGATGGTATTGGGTGTGTCGATATCTCTCACTGGATTTTTAGTGTGATAATCAATCACCATCCCAAAAAAAAAGAAAATATAGTCGTTAGAATAGTACGATTCTGATTGGCGATTCTAGGTATGGATTTGTGCATAAGTAATTGAGGAAGTCCGCGCAGAATTTTCTATATTTTATGTTGGTCAAATAATAAATGATAGGCCTAGACATGATTCTACATTATGAATAAAATTTAAAAAAAATTGCTTGATGCGTACGTAAAGATAACTAAAAGTACTGTACGTTAGCGGGATGCTAATGTGCCATAGTCTGTAAAATTTATGTAAATCATCAAAAACCGATTAGTTTTGATTTGTATATCAATAGAAATGGGAACTGATTGATTTGGTCCTTTTAAATTAACAAGTCGATGTGAAAATCGATTTTTTTAAAGGTTATCAGTATTTGACAGACGATCTAATACGATAGTAGGATACGATCACAATTATCAAAATGAAAACAAATAAAATATAAATAAAATAAAATATTTATGAAATTATTAATTAACAATCATAAGTAATAATGATGATAATGATATTAATTTAAACATTAACCCTCTAACATTTTGATTCATAACAATGATGGATATTATGAACTAAAACACTGTGACGTTTATATGAGTAATAATAAAAGCAATAATATTCATATAATATTACGGCATAAAATTTCAAACTTGTCAAATTAAATGGAATTACCAAAAAGGTAAATGTACGTTGGGATCTACGAAGTCACAAAAAAAAAAACAACCTATAGGAAATTGTTAAGACATTGAAACGAAAATTTGGAAACTTTTTCATTCAGAAAATAAACTATCTAATAACATAATAAAGTTCAATTATTTACAAAATAATATTATACCATATTCAGTTAATTTTATTATTGCAATTGAAAATGTACACCAATTAGTATGAGCATCTATCGGTCGCGTAATTGTGATGCAATTGAAACCTAGTAGTAAGCCCTCTTGTGGAATTCATTGTCAATTTACACGCTTCAGTAAACATTTAATAATCTAATAATCTATACTTTTACCATCTTTTTACCTTAGCATAGATCCGGTGTTGTCATAAACTGTCGTTTCGTTTATTGTACTGTAATTTGAAAAGCAAAACCTACCCATATGAAAGAATGCGTAATGTTGTGACATCGTCATTATCATCATCATCACCATCATCATCATCATCCTCATCATCATCATCATCATCATCATCATCATCATCATCATCATCATCATCATCATCATCATTATCATTATCATTATCATTATCATTATCATCATCATCATCATCATCATCATTATCATTATCATCATCGTCCTCGTCGTTGTTTTTGTTGTTTATATCATTATATTGTTGTTGTTATTATTAATATTATTATTATTATTAATTGATTTTATTGTTGTTAGTATTATTAGTATTTTAACTTATTTACACTACAACTGTTGTACTCTGTGTAATGTACAGTAGTTACTCAAATCAGTTTTAACACCTTTGGCCAACATTAAATTGTAGACATCAAAAATAGTAAACAAACTTTTTAACAATGATTTAAAAAATAATCTGTAATTGAAATATGTTAACATCGTATGGAATCAAGATAATTATTTGTATCACAGCATACATTGTAGACGACAATTGTTACCATGGCTATATAACGTTTATAAGCATGTGAGTATTTATAGACGCAAGTTGCGTCCTTTATTGCACAGTCGAGGATGTCACACATGCTAGCTACCCGATTGATTGTGATGTAATTCCGCTTTACTTTGTATGATTCAGTTTACCTCTAGAAAACCCCCATGGTATTAATTGTCCTAAATGGTAATATATTATGACACTTGTATATCTATTAAATGTTGTAAATTCTAGAAATGTCTCTGTCTTCAAAGTCGTTAAAGGGTGAAAAGAGGTTAAACATGCCACATTTGTCATTGATATTATCTACACTGCTTATCTTGGACTATTGTAATATTTACATGAGCTCCACTTGTTTTAAGTTACTTTACGCATACGTGATACTGTATAGTTATTATGATTAATTTAATTATATTGTACTGAAAATATCATCTGGGGTCAATAGTTTTCTCTCATTCTTTGGTTGCAAGTCAGCCGGAAATTATTAAATGTTGTTTTCTGGAAACAATCCTCCCATGACCGACAGCAGAATGGGAAATTAAATTGAAAATATAGATGGGATTTTTATATGATTTAAATTATTTATGACATGGTGGTATAACGATGATGCCAAATAAAACCCAAATAAAAACTTCATTTACTACCGGACAATCATTTAAAATTCGCCCTGGCAATATTTTTAAATACTTTAAAAAGTGCCTGATTATGCTTCTCTAAATTGACCTACTGAGATCTGAAATTACAAACTTAAAATTATTTCCCCACCCCCTAGAATCTCAGCCGCTGCATGCAAAGCAGTGACGTATTTATGGGGTGCAAGTGGCTGGTAACCCACTGGAAATTTTCGAAACACAAAATTAGCTAGAAATCACCTCATATCATCTTAGTTTGCCAGCTTACTGTAGCGTCTACTTAATGATCGAGTAACCCCCACTTCACATTCGCCCCCACCACATCCCCATCCATATTAAGACTCTAAGCTATATCTACGGTTGCAAAGGGCGTCTCCCACGCATACACCGCCCACAAACTCGTGAACATGATTCAGCCTTCCAGATTCGAGTTGTCACGGAGACTCTGTCGAAAGGAATTTAAGGTGTAATTTACATTACATTATTTTATGAAACGAGGCATAGTCCTGTATACAACGTAGGCCAAAAAAAGTGTGGAGAACTCTTTATTTTTAAGAATAATGATAATTAGGCCTATAATTGAGAAGATATTAGGGCAATGCAACTGACTTTTCTACAGTATGTAAAAAAATATACATTCAACAAGCATGAAATGTGAGATGAAAAATCAATACCTAAGCAAAACCGATATTTGAAGTTATTTATTTACTTTTTATTATAATTACTATGACTATGTGTACGTTATCATTAAGCTATATTTACCTCTTTTTTTTTTTAGTTTTGTAATATTAACCGTAGTTAAGTTACAGTATTTTCTTCTTAATTTACTGTGGATTTTTCTCTTTTGGATGCACCATAATTTTGGATGTGTGTCACCGTAATGAAAGTGATTCCAATATAGTACAACAAATCTCGGTACATCTCCGTATGCACGAGGGCGCCATTGGTACAGAGGAGATCATTAAGTGAATTCTATAATTTACTAACTACCACCGGTATAACGATCTAAGACCTATATATTTATTCAAATATTGACCAAAAAATAACATTTTGAATTATTTTTAGAGGGATTATTTTATAAATTAACCCGTTTATAAATTAATACCAGGCACATCTATGCAGTTAAACAATTATAATATAAATATATGCCTACATTATATAGGAGTTTTGCCTACATTATATACTAATATAATATAGTACAGTGCTCAAATATTTATAATTATAATACATTATGGATTATAGACAAATTTTTCTTCTTTACCCCCTTTGACGGACCCCCGAGGTTGCTATGAATGTGTCAGATTTTGCCGTGAACATTGGTCAGGATGAATCATATACAGTACATTTTATGGATGCACTCTGATATAAAAGTGAATGAATGAATAAATAAAGTATTACCACAAGACGTGCATCTCTTGAACTTGCTCACGTGCCTAAATATATGACCTTCTGTAATCGGATCTGAATTCCCAATGAAGCTTCAATGACCAAGTTGGTTAAGGCGTCTACATAGACAGAAACAGGTCCTGGGTTCGAATCTAGCAACAGCATTACATCATACTCGCAGATTCCTTTTTTTAGCGTTCAATATATATCGTGTGTGTATATATATATACATATATCAGCACATCAACCCTTTGTATAAAGGACGCTCAGTTCGCGCGCACTGCGACGCACTCGAGTAGACGCGCGCATTTGTATAATGATGCATTATATTTTGTTAGTTTACTAAAAAAAAATGTATGTAAAGTTATGATATGAATTTCAATGTATTCTGTTTTTTCTTTCTTTTTTCAGCCGGCGCGGCAGGTGCAATTGGCGGTCGTGTCGCCATGTTAAATGTGGCGTCCCGAGTGCGCAGGCCCAGTAACGCTTCTGTTTCAAATTACAACGGTGAAACTCAAGCAAACGGCGGAGTAATCAACGTAGGCTATGAGCCAGAGGTAGATATAGCAACAAAAGCAGTTACAGAATGGAAAGAAATACAAGAAAAGAAGAAACTATCAAAGGTGGAATTACAGCGCAAAGAGCGCAGAGAACTTGAGTAAGTCAATTTTAATCTCTCTTAAATGATATTTTTCATCTTACATTTTCGACAACGCTGCAGCGTAAAAATGAAAGTAACAGAAAAAAAAATCCAAAAACCGACAACTGGGATTAATCACAATATTTTCCTGACAACAGTACGATTGAGCTAAGTAACACAGAAGGCAATGGTTAAACATTAATTGAAAACCATAATCAACATTGCCTGGCAACCGCATGTTATCGTCATTATCATTGATGGAGATATTCTGATTTTAATTCAAGGACAAATATGCTTAGGAATAAATATTCAAGGCACAGATAATACATATGAATAAATTACAGCGAACATGCTCCTGTGTAAGACGCAGGCGGATGATTGGAGCGCAGATAGGAAATGTCGTTCAGTCGCCTATAAAATATGTGAATCCCACAAAAAGCAATGTTACTGTTATGAATAGATTTTGAGAATAGATTTAAGTAGAAACTGTGACATTTATTGCGGTATTGTCCGTGAACCATCGTAATTCGCAAGGTATTTGTCATCACTTATTTCTATTTTATGATGATTATTATTATGCAATGACGTCAACGGTACACTGTAAGCATTTTCTTAGTTTCCGTGTATAAGCTGACTTCAATAATTATCTCTATTTTGATAATCTTTTCCAATAAAATATAATATTGTGCTTGTTTGAAATAAATTTTGATTGTGTCACAAATAATGACAACAGGTAATGATGAACTACTCTTACAAATAATGACGAACCTGTAAAATTGCCATCTACTTTATACAAGATCACGGTATATTGTAATGCGTATTTAATTATGATTAAAAACACAAATTGTTCATAAACTACATTTTCTCAGTACTGGAATTACATCTTTTCTCGCAAATTGAATATGGCATACATCTAGGCCCTATGTAATTTATAATCAAAATTTATTATCCTATATGGTATGATAGTAGGTTTTATTGGATATTATACTATGTTGAACCTCTATTAAATGGACACGTTTGGGACCAAAAAAGTGTCCCTTTAATAGAACCATATTAAAGGGACACATTTGGTACCAAAATGTGTCCCCTTAATAGAACTCTATTAAAGGGACACGTTTGGGACCAAAAACGTGTCCTCTTAATAGAGGTGT